TTTAGTACCGGTTGGAGCCACCAGCCTGTACTAAAGGCCACTACCTCTTTAGTACTGGTTCGTGGCACGAACCAGTACTAAAGGTTCGCGACGAACCGGTGCTAATGAGTGCCGCCCGCCTGGCCGTTGGAACCGGCACTAATGGTCACATTAGTGCCGGTTCAATTGCAAACCGGGACTAATGAGTTTCACATTAGACCCTTTTTCTACTAGTGTGTGCTTCTTCTCTCTTTTTTTAGACAAACAGGAAGCCACCGGGTGGCCTCCCCACTCCATTACTACTCCGGTCATTTTTACACTGCATGTTAGCTTTGACTGAAGTCAATCTCAGTAAAGTTTGATCAAGTTTGTGCAAAAAAATATCAACATTTTTAATATCAAATCAATAGCATTACATGCATTGTAGAATACATTTCATATTATATTTATTTGGTATTATAGTGGTCGACATATTTTTAATATAAAGTTCATCAAAATTTACAGAGTTTGACTTAAGATAAATCTAAAATATGGACTAAAAAGGAACGTAGGGAGTATGAATGAAACCGGATTCAACAGTTATTCAGTCTCCGGTTCAGGAACAGAAAAAAAAAAATCTACAACTAGAGGAGCTAACTGAATTCAGCAAAAAATATAACAGGACAGGCAGGCCACTAAAAGAGAAATAGCAGACATCCATTCGAAATAGCAAGAATTATCAGCAGGATCTCTCCAGGCTCTTCTTAGCATAGATGTTGCAGATTTCTACCAGCTTTGCCTCTCGTGGAAGCCGAGTCGAGCTCGCATCACCAATTGCCTGCAGCTTGAACTTATAGCCCTGTTAAAATAACGAGAAACTTTGTCCCAGATAGCTCTAGCTACCATACAATAGAATAGACCCCAGATTTTGTACAGGGTACTAATCGAATAGACCCCAGAAACTTTGTCTCAGATACCTCTAGCTACCACAAAATACAGGGCTAACCCCTCTAAAATTGATAATATTTTACACGGTACTAATAGAATAGATCCCAGATTTTGTATATTGCTAGAGCAAAGAATCCATGTCCCCAGAATAAGTGATGCTACTAGCGATCCATTCAAGTTCAGTGTTTCTTCTTTTTTGATGAAACACTAGCGGAGCAGCTTTTCTTTCCAATTATAAGAGGAAAGGTGTTACAGGTATTGTGGCCGGAGCATGCTGCTATACATTAACTATGCCAACAGCTGGAAACCAGCAACTATACATCAGCACATAATTCAGTCCGGCTCTCGTGGTCTGTCCAAAAACTGCTGAATCCTACGGATACCCAGCCTGGCCTCATGATTTGGAACTGTAAGAGAGAGAAACACTGAACTCGATGATTAATCGGTTCAGTGTTTCTTTTCTCTCACAGTTCCAAATTATATTGGCATTACTTTGTGAATCAAATGGAATGACCAGCTAAGTAAAAGATAATTAACCTATCTTACAGGCTGGATTAATATGCCCTCATAATATAGAACAGACAAAGTATAACTCTTTCTCTCATGTTGATTAGTTTAACTGATAGAAGCCTCTTGTAGGTCTTACAGAGATGGTGTTAGGATGGAATAATGGCCTTACAACGCAACAAGATGATAAGGGAAGTACACCTCTTCACTTAGTTGCATCTATGCCACGTCAAAAAGACGGACGATACATACGTTTACTTCTACTGAAAGCCAATCCAGATGCATTGTATCAAATGGACAATGATGGATCATTCCCCATACACGTGGCTGCATCCGTTGGCTCAAGAATTACCATCAATGTCTTTCTTCAGAAGTCGCCCAGTTGCGCTGGTCTACGTGATGCTAGGGGAAGGACATTTCTTCATGTTGCAGTTGACAAAATGAAAATATGGCCGGTCTGGTCTGCTTGCAGAAACCAGTCGATATCATGGATTTTAAATATGCAAGACAATGGTGGAAACACTGCACTGCATTTAGCCGTCCAAAAAGGAACACTGATGATATTCTGTGCTATATTTGGGAATAAAAAAGTGCACTTAAATTTAACAAATGAGAAAGGAAAGACCCCGCTTGATATAGCACATTGCAATATTCCCAAAGGATTGCATTATAACCAGGTAATATACATGCACAATCATTTTATTTTTCAGCATGGACTTGAAGGTGAATGAGAACAATTAAGTTGCATGGTTCAAAATTTAGTTATTTTGATTTTGCAGAACACTGAAGTAAAAATCCGTCTAGCGCTCGAACTCGCTGATGCTAAACGGGGCATTTGTCGCCTGGATTACTTTGAAGAAAATGATATTGTCCGAGTGAGAAAAGATGAAATGGATAAAGTGAAAGAAGGGACAGGCAATCTTTGTATTGGCTCTGTCTTAATTGCAACTGTGACTTTTGCTGCAGCTTTCGCCATCCCTGGAGGTTACAGGGCTGATGACCACACTAATGGGGGCACACCAACCCTTGCTGGAAAGTATACTTTTGATGCGTTCACCCTAGCCAATGCACTTGCCTTCACTTTCTCTGCAATGGCTACTATTTCTCTCATGTTTTCGGGATCTCCCATGGTTTCTCTTCCAAGCCGGAGAATGCACATACAATTGGCCTATTTTCTCATCGCGATTTCAGTTACAAACTTGACAACTGCCTTTGCACTTGGTAGCTATATGATGTTAGCTCCAGTTGCCCATAAGATTGCCATTGCAGTATGTGTCATGAGTTTTCTCGTATTGGTATATCAGAATTTGGACCCGACAATCAAGAATTGTGTTCTTGTGTCACCGTTGTTGAGGAGAAAGGGGATATGTTATAGGATAGTCACTATCCCATTGACAGCATTCATGTTCATGGGCTTTGTTCTAATTCAACTTTCACCTGTAGTTGTCTTCATCTGTTTGACTGTGTTAATTCACACTGGTCACAAAGTGGAACCAGCCGCACAACCACCGACACCATTAGCTTGAAGAGGCCTAAGTAGATAGACGTATATTACCATCTTTAAGTGGATGACAATTGGAGGTTTCGGATCTGCTATCATCAAAAATTGTATCAGAAGTATGTTTGTTGAAGAACTATATATATGCCAATTGGAGGTTTTGGATTTGCTAACGTCAAAAGTATTATCAGAAGTCTGTTTGTTGAAGAACCATATCGAATCACGTGTTGTGTGCTGCTGTGCTTTGATCTTGTTTGTTGAAGAGTTAATGTGCATGTACCAATGTAAACAATTAAGATAATTGAAGGAGCTATGTCATTTCCAGTTTTTACGGTATTTTGAATTTATATTGCTTTTACCAATATTTTGAATATATATTTCTCCATATTGCTTGAAAAAAATGATTTATTGACCATGCCGGCTGGCAACATCTGTACAATGGTGTGGCATTCTTTCCTCTGAAAATAGTGGGGGTCATTTTTATCACCAAAACCATTGAAGAATCAACAGACATCACTGCCCAACCTAGACAGCAGCATCGATGCGGTGGCAATTGTTAGAATCCATGTCGACGTGCTGGTGGTTGCTGAAATCCACGCGGGCGGTTTAGATGGCATCATCACGTCACAAAGGACAAATCTTATAGTATTAACCAGCACTAGATTTAAGATTTTTGAAGTCCAACAACAGCCTCAAAATACTATTAGTAGTGTTACATTGTCAAAAAATTCTACCTAAAATCCTCTATCGATGGTGCATGATTTATCGAATTAACTAACGATTATGTAGCATTTGAAGAAACACCATCAGCACATAATCTTTGTAGGTCCATCAGCTCACTGTCTCTGCTTTGACTGCTGTCTTTGATGCTTCTCTTCCGCTTCCTAACCCTCTTTCGCTTCGCCTCACCATCAGCCTTTTGATCCTGAAGAAAATAAGTTCTCACTAGTGCTTGTTGTCGCGAGATTTCTATACACGAGTCATTAGCATCCAAATACAAATCAAA